TGCTTTTCAGCTTGTCTTTGTATCTTAGTCATGGGCATCCTACATTCCTGTAGCCCTGATCTAACTGGCTGTACATTAGGATCTTGGGTATCCTGTCATCAGACATTCTCAAGACATGACCAGTCCACTGCATGATAAAAGTCTCGATTCCTCCAACATTACACCTGTTAAACAGATCTACGTTAGACGTCTTCTACTTTCAAAGGTCTCTCTGGAAATGTGTAGACTGAAGGTTTTTGTTTCTCACCACGCAATTGCTTCGGCGTAGGACAAGGTTGGTGCACAACTTCAGTTTTCTTTATGCTAAGTGTAAGACCAAATGCTTTACATGCAGCAGAGAAACGATTTATTAGATGTTGTGCCTCCTCAAATGATGTCGCTACAAGAGCCGCATCATCAGCAAATAACAAATCACAAATAATATGCGTACGAAGGTGGGTCTTTGCTTTGAAGCGCTTGATGATTGAAGAGACCACCAGTTGTTCGAAACTGAAACTTGAGGACACACTCTTTGTCTGCAAATGCATATTTCAGCATCACCGAGAAGAAAGGGGCAAAAAGGACAGGGGCCATGACACAACCTTGCTTGGTGCCATTTGTGACATTAAAGGATTCTGACATCATACCATCAGATACGATGTTAGCTTTCATTCCTTCATGAAAGGAGATGATGACCTTTAGCATGTTTTCAGGGGTGCCGAATTTCCTCAAGACTCACCAAAGAGCCTCTCGATTCACAGTGTCAAAGGCCTTCATCAAGTCCATAAACACCATGTATAACTCCTGGTTTTTCTCGCGATCCTCCTCTGCAACCTGACGAAGAGAAAATATCATGTCAATGGTACCCCGACCCAACCGAAAACCACACTGCGATTCAAGATAGATGTCGTTAACAAGGTGTATAATGATTTTGTTTAGAATCAGTCTTGCTAGGATTTTGCCTGCAATTGAAAATAGTGATATCCCCCGATGATTATCACAGACACACATGGATCCCTTGTTTTTGTAGAGGTGTTTGATAAAGGTGTCTTTATAAACCTGTGGGACACAGCCTGCCTTCCATATCTTCACGAAAAGGAGATATAACTTTTTGACCAACTTTTGGCCACCATGCTTATACACTTCGGGTGGAATAGGATCCTTAGGAGTAGGTGATTTTCCAGATGAGATTTGCTTGATGGAGTCAATTACCTCTTGATAAGTAGGTTCAAAAGACAACTCCGGAATTTCAGGATTTTGCTCAATTGATGTGATGGCTTCCTCATCAGTAACCGAAGTGGTTCGTAACACAGTTTCGAAGTGCTCTTTCCAGCGATTTAAAATATCTGACTTATCCGTCAAGAGAGTTTCACCATCTGCTGTGGAGATAGGAGCAACACCACTTTTCTGAGGACCGAAAATGCTATTTGGCCATATATATATATATATTGTTCGTATTCTGGCTTTGCCAATGAGCATGTTTGATACCCACCGGTGCACACACGCGGCGTCCGTGAAGAGGTGTAGCTCCGTTGCGCTCCACTGTAATGCTAAATTGATGCCCTTCAGAATAGCATCCAATTCTGATAAATTGATATGTTGGGCGTCCTTCACAGGTCGCAGCCAACATGCGTCTTCTACAAAGTTTCCGTTAACCTCCAAAGAAAACCCCTGTGGCGAGAGAACTTGCATCTTAAGGGGAGCATCTGTCACTTCGTCGTCCCAATCAGACGTGATCGATACTGTCCTGCGTTTCACAAATGGTGCAGCAACACGAAGCCACCCACATACAGGAACGTGACCCACCAGTTTTCCACACCACGAGAAGACGTCGTGTCAGGACCTCAAGAACTGTTGGAATGCCATTTTCACGTGTCCACTTAAGCGTGTTGTTATCTTCTGCGACATGCAAACCCAGCACACGTGTGCCGTCACGTAACCACTCCGGATCCTTGCAGGCCAAACCAAACGCAGCCAAGTGTTCTTTCATGCGAGCAGCTGGAATCATGCTCTCGTCAACATAAATATCATCAATAGATGATGACGTTGCCCGTCGAACTGACTCGTCTTTCGCTAACGCGGCGTCCACAATGGCCTTCATCATGGCTGGTGCAACATTCAACCCGAAACCCATTCGGGTCATGCAATATATTCGCCCCTCGAAGATTACAGTTTGAAAGGACCAAAGTGACTTATGGATATGTACTTGCAAATAAAACTGCCGTAGGTCAAGGATAGCGACTTCCGGTCTTTTTTACGCCACTCCCTCAGTTTCTGTGCGCACACGTCAGCATTGGTTGTGTGTGCGTCGAGACACTCATTCAGCTCTCGATAGTCTAATACTGACCGCACTTTATTTTTGTTTTTCTGCACCACCGCTATCAACGGAATTAAACCTTTTGGAGGAACGAGTTCCTTTCAGGATAAGGCTGCAACCAACCATTATCAAGCCAGGTCTGCAGCTCACGGTCATATTCCTCCTCAACTCCCTTTGGTATTGGGTACTCGGGCATCCGATTTCGCAAACTCTCCGGTGATCGACCATTAGACCACTTCCATGATGCGACCCATATCTTCCGGATTGGGTCGAATTCGGCACAAAACTCAGGTTCTTCTATTTTAATGGCGGTACAACAGACTATTCCACGCTTCCGCCCAACTTTTTAATGGCGTCAAACCCAAGCAACAAGTCAAAACCCAATAGCTCTCCATCCACTACCAAGACTTCGATCTTAAGGGGGTTTGCGTTGTCCATGTCGAGCTTGATACTTCCAACTCCGCAACATTTGAGAGTATTTCCATTTACGGTGAGTACGTCCACCTCTGTCTCCCGTCAGGATCGACAGGCTGACTTACTCACGAGTGTCTGTGAGCAGCCAGTGTCCACCAGTGCCACTCTCTTAATTCCGTTCACATAAATACCCAATACAGGTAGCGCCTCATTCATAACTCACTTCGGGAAGAGACCGGCGCTGACATCTTGTCCCCTTCCTCTTTTCCCGGACACGATGAAGCAATGTGGCCTATCTCTTGACACTGGAAGCAACGCATTGTTGCACGTGACCTGCGTGACTGGCGGGCATCTTCTCGTCGAACCGGGCAGTCCCTGGAAAAGTGATTCCACCCAGAGCATCGATAACATCGCATGCCCTCCTGACGTTTAACATATGGTGGTTTATGAGCTCTGCCTGGTAAAATGGTAGCTGCAACCATTTCCTCAGTTGCATTTTGATCTTTCATTATGGCTCGAGCTCGAACCAACAGTTGGTTTGTATTCATTTCTTCCATCCTGAAAGACGCGCGCAGTAGTTGCTTGACGTGCGCTGGTAATCCTGCTATGAACGCACATGCTAATCCTTGCTCGGATATCCCACCAAAAAGACCTGATAGCTTCTTCAAGTCAGCTAGAAACACATCGATAGATTCGTCTAGGCGCAGTCGGCGTTCCACGAACTGCTCTTAAGCTAAGAAACGATCCAGCACAAAGGCAATCCACAAGGCTCATTTTATCTGCTCGACATCTGATTTTTACTCCAAGTTTAACTGATGGTAAACAGCTATTAGTATAAGGGTGTGTATTTGCCGCACAGAGTTTACTAATTATTCTATGTTAGGTAGAATAACGCGTTCTAGCCTTCAGTAGCACACCGATACTAATATTAGCATTAGCGTAGCCATTGATACACTAACACTGAATGCGAATATGAAAAGACGAAGTACGCGAGCGTAACCAATGAAACATTTAATGTGGCAAGCAGCCTTCGTAAATATATACACAAGATTTATACATGTCCCAAAACAAATAAATGCCCATATTGTCCCAAAGGAAAGAGGAGGTTAAACAGAATTAGTACAAAGATATCACCTACCAATTTCATGGCCTTTGGTCGTCCACAGATGAGTGAAGGAGTTTGTTGCGTTAGGCCGTACACATGTGGACCAGTTTCCACGTGTGTGGACGCTCTGGTGGTCAGGAAGGAAAAAAGATCGTTCCTCCCAGAACGGAAGTGAAGACAAAAAAAAAGGCAGAAGAGTTCTACTCACTAAAAGGGGCCACAACTCTAATGGGCTAATGCAAAAAGAAAACAACTGTGGTCTCCCTACAAGTACCTCCTCCGTAGACAGCTTCATTAACCTGCACTAGAGATACAACTAAAATGTAACAAAAACAAAACTTCACAACAAGTATTACAAATTTAAAGAAACGTAATGAAAAAGGAAGAGTTCAATGTGGAGGGAAGAATATCCTCCGGTTATAGTTCTGCTGAACCCAAACCCTGAAAATGACTTATGTCAATAAATGTTTGGGCCATCTAACACGACGGCCAGATCTGGTCACGGTCTCTTTCACTACCCCAGGTGATACTGGTGATGGAGTAGTCACTGAAGTGTCCATGCTGAGCCAGGTAGTGTCCAAAAAGGCAGGCTTTAATCTGTCAACAGTAATGCTTTGTGTTGCATTGTTAATGCTCACCATAAAATACTTCGAATGTCTCTCTAGGACTTTGAAGGGTCCTCTGTAGGCTGGCTGCAATGTGTGCGAGTTAGTCAAGTCCCGCACAAAAACATGTGTGCATTTCTGCAGTAGTTTAGGCACAAATATCTGCCGTTGAACCTGCGCAGAAGACTTATATGCCAAATTCGCCATGCTCGCGGTAAGCCGATCAACGAACGAGGTCAAGTTCAAAACTTTTTGTGGAGGTTGCAGAAAAAATGTCCTGGGAGTCTGAGTGTGGTGCCATAAACTATCTCAGCAGATGAACATTTAAGATCGTCTTTAACCGCAGTGCGGAGTCCCAGAAGAACCAACGGTAGATGCTCCTGCCAATTTACCTGATCCGTCACGGCCCTTAAAGCTGATTTAAGTGTACGGTGAAACCGTTCCACTAAGCCATTAGCCTCGGGATGATAAGCGGTGGTTTTGACTCTTTTACTCCCCAAGATCCTCATCAGTTGGTTGAACAGGTCTGACTCGAATTGCCGCCCTCTGTCTGTAGTAATTAAGGCAGGGACCCCAAAACGGGAAACCCATCCTGAAACAAAAGTCTTTGCCGTAGTATGTGCCGTAATGTCCGACATGGGAAGAGCCTCACACCAACGGGATAAACGATCAACACATGTCAATAGATATGTCTTTCCCTCACATGAAGGGAGTGGTCCTGTGATGTTCACGTGAACATGTGCAAACCGCTCGTCGGGTGATGGAAAGGATCCAGGAGGTGAACGGGTATGTCTCCTGACTTTGGCCCTCTGGCATGGCACACAAGTCTTTGACCATTGTCGAATGTCAGTTTTCATGCGTGGCCAAACAAATCTGTCTGTGATTAGCCATATTGAGGCATTAGCTCCTGGGTGGGACAAATTGTGCATGGAGGAGAATAACGTCTTCCGCATTGACTCAGACACGAAGAGGCGCAATCGTCCGGTGCTGGTGTCACATACAACTTCCAATTCTGTGTTTGGAACAAGTATTTTTGACAACGTCAAGGATGTGTTGTTCTCTCATAGCCGATGCTGTAGTTGCTGATCCTTCTCCTGTGCTTCCACAAATGACTGATGTTCCAAGCACGGATCCAGCACAAAAGCATTTATGCCACGAGACATAGTGTCTGCAGGTATGTTGTCCGTTCCCTTGATGAAACGGATATCTGAAGTGAATTGTAACAGATAATCCAAGTGTCTGGTTTCAAGTGGGGAAAACTTGTGACACTTTGACAGAAAAGCCCCCAACAAGGGCTTGTGGTCTGTCAGTAGGTAGAAAATCCGCCCTTCCAACAAATGTCGAAAGTAACGGACCGCTGAATAAGCTGCGAGAAGTTCACGTCCAATTGGTTTCCAGTGGTCATCAATCTTCTGCTGTAGTACTGCACCTACACCAATCGAAGAGGCGTCCACTGCCAAACACAACTCGCTACCTGGGACAACATGTGATAATTCAACTGCTCGGGACAATAAAACCTTAATTTGGTGGAAGGCTGCCAAAGCTTCATCAGACAAAACTATGTCACAATTTTTGACATCAGTTAGAATATCTGTCAGAGGTTTTATAACCTGCGCACAATTTGGCAGGAACCTTCGAAAAAAATTTACCATCCCTAAAAACTGTCGCAACTTTCTCATGGTATCTGGCACGGGAAAGTCAGAAATGGCCGCCACTTTAGATGGAGAAGGTGAAACTCCCGCTGAATTGATGCGGTGACCTAGGAAAATAACTTCAGACTTTCCAAACTCACACTTTACTGGGTTGATAACAACCCCAAATTTCTCAAAGCGCTCGAAAACGAGCTGTAAATGTTCAATATGTTCTTCCATGAAAGAACTGGCTATAAGTACATCATCCACATAGGCACAGACAAAATGCAGATCGTGCAATACATGGTCGATAAATCTCTGAAAAGACTGTGCTGCGTTTCTTAGTCCAAATGGCACACGCAGAAACTCAAACAACCCAAATGATGTTGTTATGGCAGTCTTTGGAATGTGACTAAGTTCTACCGGAATTTGATGGTAGGCCCTGATAAGGTCTAATTTAGTAAATATGCACCTATCCTGAATGATGGCCGTTACGTCATGTATATGAGGAATGGGATAACGGTCAGGTTTAGTGGCAGAGTTGAGTGCCTTATAATCCCCACAAGCTCGCCAGGTACCACCACTTTTGGGTACCAGGTGTAAAGGAGATGCCCAGTTACTCTTTGATGGCCGGATAATACCAAGTTCCATCATTTGGGTAAATTCCGCTTTCGCTAAACTCAATTTTTCCGGTGCCAGACGACGAGGACGGCTGTGAACAGGGCCGCTAGTAGAAATGTGGTGTGTTATATTGTGGGGTAAACTATCTTTATGAAAAGCCGGTTTAGTAATACTCTCAAACTTTTGTAAAAGTTCACAGAACATAAGGTTATCTTCTGTGTTAGCCACAGTAGGACATAATGGAATTACATTATGAATGGCTCCCGGCGATTGAGTATTTGGCTTAGGGTCTGTCAGACAACGTCTGTGTACATCAATGAGAAGACCAAATTTGTGTAAAAAATCTTCACCCAATATGGCCTTCTCTACATCCGCAAGGACAAAGAAATGGGTGAAAACCCGTCTCAGACCCAAATTCAATGTAAGGCACCTCTGACCATAAGTCTGGATGAGCGACTTATTCACGGCCTGCAAGGTAAGTTTGTGAGGTCCTTTTAACTTGTCTGCCCTAGTGGCAGGAATTAAAGATATTTGCGCACCACTGTCCACGAGAAAACGTATACCAGTAATGCGGTCCGAAACAAATATTAAGCGACAAACCTCTCCCACGCCGGCGCACCGGGTCGCCTCCGGTCGCCAGCCTAGGCTTTTCCCTGTTGCGAATTGAAGGAACAGGGGGGCTTACAATAATTAGCCCTATCTCCGAATTTCCTGTGTAAATAACACATTGGGTCCTTGCTAACAGCTTTTACACGACCTCTACTTTGGGAGCGGTGAATGCTAACCTTCTGCAACCGTCTCTCTAAGTCTTCCATCCTAGCCTCTAACCTTCGTTGTCCCTCCAAAAGTCTAGCCAGCGGATCTGGCTCTTGCGTCTGTACGGCAGAAACGGGAGCAGTGCATCCCGAAGTTAGGTCAGCTACATTATCTGCTATTTCAGCCAGCTTTTCGACGGGTGCATCTTCACCCACCGCGGCTAAAACAGCGTGATACACAGGGGGAAAACGCTGGAGAAAAATATGACGTATAATGCCATCCTCATTACTTTCTCCGGCTAGATGTTGTAAACGACGTAAAAATTGCGACGGCTTGCTGTCTCCCAATTGTTCCTCATGCAAAAGCTGCGACAATTTCTTTTGTCGTGACACAGACGTCCTCCGAACAAGTTCCTCCTTTAACTTGTAATATGGCTTGTCTTTCGGCGGAGAGATAATAATTTCTCTCACCTGGACAGCTTCTAGAGGCAACTTGGAGACCGCTAAATTAAATTTTGTTTTCTGAGAGGTAATTCCTCTCAGTTCGCACTCCGACTCTAACTGTGCGAAAAACAAAGCTGGGTCCGCTTTAAAGTAGGCTACGCTGACAGTGTTCACTGTGGACACCGCGGCCGTTTTTTTCCTCATCCATATCGTATATTCTCTATGGGGATAGTTAGCACACAGAAATACGCCTCACAATGCGAAGTACCACAGAGAAAGAAAAAAAAAAGGAAAACACACAAACAAACGTACCTAAATATTTTAAACAAAAAGTCAGAAATGGCTATCACTGCTATTACCACTCATGGGTGTTGTGAACTCTAGCAGTAAGCTACTGACCAGTGTGCCTCCACGGGTGAGACAGTCTAATGTTGCAGGCCGGCGCCAAATTCAAATATAGGATGGGAGAAAAATCACACGAGGGAAAGGGAAGCCATGTTGTCATGTTATACAAGTCGTCATTCCTATATCGCAAATTATTTGTGCCGAAAAAAAAACACTCTCTAACACACGAAATTAACATTAACAGTTATTTTGCAAATTGCAAAAATATACTGCCACGTTGGAGTCACCACTTATTAGTATATGGGGTGTGTATTTGCCACACAGAGTTTACTAATTATTCTATGTTAGGTAGAATAACGCGTTCTAGCCTTCAGTAGCACACCGATACTAATATTAGCATTAGCGTAGCCATTGATACACTAACACTGAATGCGAATATGAAAAGACGAAATACGCGAGCGTAACCAATGAAACATTTAATGTGGCAAGCAGCCTTCGTAAATATATATACAAGATTTATACATGTCCCAAAACAAATAAATGTCCATATTGTCCCAAAGGAACGAGGAGGTTAAACAGAATTAGTACAAAGATATCACCTACAGGAGGAGGTTAAACAGAATTAGTACAAAGATATCACCTACCAATTTCATGGCCTTTGGTTGTCCACAGATGAGTGAATGAGTTTGTTGCGTTAGGCCATACCCATGTTGACCAGTTTCCACGTGTGTGGACGCTCTGATGGTCAAGAAGGGAAAGAGATCGTTCCTCCCAAAACGGAAGTGACGACAAAAAAAGGCAGAAGAGTTCTACTCACTAAAAGGGGCCACAACTCTCATGGGCTAATGCAAAGAGAAAACAACTGTGGTCTCCCTACACAGCAAATGCTCCGCCCGTCAACCTCAGAGGAAGAACACGTTCAATCCCACACAGGTCACAAACAAGTTCTGCCTTCTCAATCCATTCAGTAACTGCTTGTCTGGTCACTGACCCATCAAACTCGGGTATTAACTTGACATCAAATGTCTTATCCGTCATACTGCCGAAATAGCTTGTAAGCGTTCTGAAAGCAAAGGAAGTAGTTGTCGCAGATTACTTCCACAACACAAAGAAAAATCACTGTAAGTACAGACTCGAATATCCGGGGCGGGGCAGAAAGAAATGCTGAAAACTCGATTCGCCGGTACTATCTCTCATCACAATGCGTGTAACCAGTCAGAAAAATAATTCACTCTCTAAGAAACGCCGTTGCCAAAAATACCCGAATTTTCCCGATCTCGAATCGAGAACACCAACTGCTTTTATCGGCAAAACCTATTTTTTTCATTCGTCGACAGCTGGGAGAGGATGTTCAGTAATTTGCATATCAAAATACTTTTATAGCGACTCCTGCGACGGACTTGTTTTTTTTTTTTTAATTCAAATATTCCATTTTCAGCATGTCATGCGGAATACGTGCCTTTCTGTTTGGTAAGTAATTTTCTTTTTCACCACTTTTTCCGTCGTAGAATACACGCGACGCGCTGTCGCTTGGTTTGACGAGGTATGTCGCTGTTTTCTTCGCTATATATTGCAAATGAAAATAAAATCTTTACCACTTTTCTTTTGTTAAAAAAAATAACATCGCTCAGTATGTCTTTCGTGATAGCTTCTTATCGATTTAATTATTTCTCGCTTTTAATTTTCACGCGACCGCTAAATAGTGTCACAAAAGGCATTTAACTTAAAATAAAAATATCTGAACATTTTTTTTTTTGTATATTAATTTAATAATTTCTTAATTCAGTCGGAAAACTATTCTGGGTAAGGCATTAAACTACATTCGACACAGTGGAGCTTCAGGATACACTGACTGCAACTCTGCTTATCATAGAAATTCCTCAATGAGCTACCTGGGTGGTGGGGAGGTCAACCAGTTATGTGTGAAGACGAGATCCTGGTGGTTGAACATTCCATGACCCACGTCAAAATGATCATGTGAATAGCAACACTCCACTTTGGCCCTTACTTGGGCGAGACAGGAGGTTGGAGAGGCCCAATCCTAACGAGAGGCTGGTCACAATATACCCTAGCAACGAAAGTTAATCCCAACCATATTATTGAATTTGATCGTTCTTCAATCAGACATCTATCTCTGCTGTAACTTTTACACACTAGAAGGTGCTGGCTGAGGGTCAATCTTGCCAAGGAAATCAAATTTTGATCACTGCTTCATGTCACCAAATATTAGTTTTTGGGTGCTAAATCTGAAACTGGCAGTGACTCAAAACAGTTCTCAGTGCAAGTATACTGGTTGCATATCCCTGTCTCAGCCACAGTGATTGAGATTCCTTCTTGATATATTCCTGGCAGAAGTTGGACTCTGCATTTTTCCTACTGTTTTTTGTGTCAGAATCAGTAAACAAAACTTTGACAGTTTTTTTTAATGAAAAGCAACATTAATATGGCAGCTTTTTTTGATATAATTGAAATAAATATTTTGAATGGCTCAAATGCAATAAGAAAAATAATTACTTCAAAAGAAAGAATGATTTCTATCTAATCAGATATCTGTAAAATTATGCACTATTCATTGTAAATATTTCCTTATTGCATTGTTTCTCATGTAGCACAACAGAACTTATCTATCCTTCACTAACCTATAATTTATACATATTTCAATCAGTAAGAAATATGGCAGACTGACTAGGGATATAATATGGAAATTGTCTTGTTAGTTGGTGTTAATCTCTCCAAACATCTTCATTTACACCAGCTTTCTATATTCTCTCACTATTCATGCTCTAGTTATATCATATCCAACCATGTCAACTGTCGGAGTTAGCTCCTCCTTGGCTCCTTAAACCGGAAGAGAACAGGTCATTTCAACCTTGACCTTTCGGTTGTGCTCCCTACACGCTGTTAACCCGAGGTAGAGACTAGCAAGTTACCTTTTCAGTTTAGTTATTTTACAAACCTAGTCTTAATATACTTCTAGGAAATTTTAGGCATTGGTTTTCTTTTAGCTAAGCTATACTCATTTTTTAGATAGACTTTACTGTGTTAGCTTACCAATTCTCTTGCTAGTCTCCCTTACCACAAGACAGTGACTTCTCGCTAAAAATAGGGTCGGCGACTGAAACGGTCGGTACGCAGGCTCCTGGCCTCCGTGGCCAGGATGTCGATCATCGGGCTGTGTATTAAGTTACGCTCCCATTTCATTTTGTCTGTCAACTTGACCTTAGTTGGAAACTTTGCTTTCTCTCTCTACTTCGCCTCTTACTTCTGGCTCCTTGTCAATTCTCGGCATTCCGTCCTTACTGGCTGCCTGCACGTCGTCCATAACCTTTCCCGTACACTACGTTTGTAATTATTACGAGAGGTTACTAATATCAGACTCGACCAGCAGACACGCAATGCCTGCACTGGACTTTTGACATGCCCGAACAACATCACAACGCCAGCTCCTCTTTCCTTCCCAACACATCAAGTTGGCATCCCGGCAACGACCAACATCAACCTCAAACTACAATGACCAGCAGTGATTATCTACAATGACCGACATCAACTTCAACTGCAACGACCAACAGCGATCATCTGCATGACCAACAGCAATCACCTGTAACAACCAACCTCGACCATCAATGCCTGCACCGGAACATCTGCATCTCTACCGTTCCGACCACCTTTATTTCTTTATTACTTTTCTAGAATAAATTAGCTTATACCTTATATATCCTCGTTCTGTCTATCTTGTTTCACCATGCCAGATTTAATGTCTTCGAAAATGTTAGCGGGCCTCTTATGACCTCATCACCCTTTTGCGATACGGGGGCGCTCAAGAGGTCCTCTACACAACTATCAATTAAGACATTAATTCATTTCTCTTTTCTGTATCTGCTAATGTATTCAGTTCACTGCTTAAATAGACTATTGTCACATTCAAGTTCTGTAAATAGAAAGATAAAGTATTTCCTCTCAAATATATATGCATGTCTTCATCTGTTTTCACCTTTGAATAAAGTGTTATATCTTTGTGATTGAAGAAAAATTTGGAAAAAACAAACCAAAAATCCTTAAATGCAATTATGTTGTTTAAAATGAATGAAATGTCGACGTCTGACGTTTCGGTTTAATAAACCTTCTTCAGGACAATATTCATTAAAATACAATTCAGTTCAATTTGACAAAGACGATGGACATAAAAAAAAAGTCTTATCCAAAACAGATAACTGAAAAAATTTAAAAGAATTTAATAGGTCCTATAAGAAACTCATATGTAATGAAGATAAGATTTGGCTTTCCCTTATTAACTACCACCCCACCGTCCCTAAAATTTATGGCCTCCCCAAATCCCATAAGCCTAACATTCCATTAAGGCCCATCATCTCGGGTATAGGCTCAGCTCCTCATAATATCGCTAGGTATTTAACTAAATTTCTAACTCCAATTCTGGGCACCGTAAGTAACGCACATATAAAGAATTCAGGCTCTCTTCTAAATAAGTTGAGAAATATTGATATAGATAACAAATCCCTAGCTAGCTTAGACATCAAATCTTTATATACTAATATACCTGTTGATAAATGCATTAAACAATTAGAGAACCACCTTAAGAAAATTGACTTTAAGCTACCTATCTCTATCTCGAAATGCATCAAATTATGCATCCTTTGCACTTCACATTGTTTCTTCCAATATAATAATATTTATTATAAACAAAAATTTGGTTTACCGATGGGGAGTTATCTCTCTGGATTCCTAGCATGCATATTTCTAGAATTTCTTGAATCTGGACCTTTTAAAGATGTCATTCCACCTGATACACATTACTTCCGATACATCGATGACATTTTATTTATCTACCCACATAAACATGA